AGGACAACACAAAAAAAAGAAAATTACAGGCCAATATCACTGATGAACATAAATCCTCAGCAAAAATCCTCAACAAAATATTAGCAAACCAAACACAACAATACATTAAAAGGATCATACACCATGATCAAATGGGATTTATTCCAGGAATCCAAGGATGGTTCAATATCTGCAAATCAATCAATGTGATACACCACATTAACAAAATTAAGAATAAAAATCACATGATCTTCCGGGCTGGCCTGTTGGCATAGCGGTTAAGTGCACGTGCTCCGCTGCAGCAGCCCGGGGTTCGGATCCGGGCGTGCACTGACGCACTACTTGTCAAGCCATGCTGTGGGGGCGTCCCATATAAAGTAGAGGAAGATGGGCATGGATGTTAGCCCAGGGCCAGTCTTCTTCAGCAAAAAGAGGAGGATTGGTGACACGTTAGCTCAGGGCTGATCTTCCTGATTAAAAAAAAAAAAATCACACAATCTTCTCAACAGATGCAGAGAAAGCATTTGATAAGATACAGCATCCATTTATGATAAAAACTCTGAATAAAATGGATATAGAAGGAAAGTACCTCCACATAATAAAGGCCATATATGACAAACCCACAGCTAACATCATACTCAATGGTGAAAATTTGAAAGCTATCCCTCTAAGAACAGGAACAAGACAAGGATGCCCATTTTCACCACTTTTATTTCACATATTATTGGAAGTCTTAGCCAGAGAAACTAGGCAAGAAAAAGAAATAAAAGGATCCAAATTGGAAAGGAAGAAGTAAAACTGTCACTATTTGCAGATGACATGATTTTATATATAGAAAATGCTAAAGAATTCACCAAAAAACTGTTAGAAATAATAAACAAATACAGTAAAGTTGCAGGGTACAAAATCAACATACAAAAATCAGTTGTGTTTCTATATACCATCAATTAAATAGCAGAAAGAGAAATCAAGAATACAATCTCATTTACAATCACAACAAAAAGAATAAAATAGCTAGGAAGAAATTTAACCAAAGAGGTGAAAGATATGTATACTGAAAATTATAAAACATTGTTGAAAGAAATTGAGGAAGACACAAAGAAATGGAAAGATATTCCATGCTCATGAACTAGAAGAATTAACGTAGCTAAAATGTCCATACTTCGTGAAGTAATCTATAGATTCAGTGCAATCCCTATCAAAGTCCCAACGACATTATTCATGGAAATAGAACAAAGAATCCTAAAATTTATATGGACCAACAAAAGACCCCGAATAGCCAAAAGAATCCTGAGAAAAAAGAATAAAGCTGGAGGTATCACACTCTCTGATTTCAAAATATACTAGAAAGCTATAGTAATCAAAACAGCATGGTACTGGCACAAAACAGACACATGGATCAATGGGACAGAATGGAGAGCCCAGAAATAAACCCACACATCTATGGACTGCTAATTTTCAACAAAGGAGCCAAAAACACACAATGGAGAAAGGAAAGTTTCTTCAGTAAATGTGGGTGGAAAAACTGGACAGCCACATGCAAAAAAAAATGAAAGTAGACCATTATCTTACACCATGCACAAATTAACTCAACATGGATTAAAGACTTGAATGCAAGACTGGAAATCATAAAACTACTAGAAGAAAACATAGGTAGTAAGACTGGAAATCATTCTGGAAAACTTCTAGAAGAAAACATAAGTGGTAAACTCTTCAACATCAGTCTTAGCAGTATCTTTTTGAATATCATGTCTCTTCAGGCAAGGGACACAAAAGAAAAAATAAGCAAATGGGACTACATCAAACTAAAAAGCTTCTGCACAGCAAAGGAAACCATCAACAAAACAAAAAGACAACCTAACAATGAGGAGAAGATATTTCCAAACCATACATCTTTTAAGGGGTTAATATCCAAAATACATAAAGAACTCATACAACTCAACAAGATAAAGCAAACAACCCGATTAAAAAATGGGAAGAGGATCTGAACAGATATTTTTCCAAAGAAGATATACAGATGGCCAACAGGCACATGAAAAGATGTTCATCATCACTAATTATTAGGGAAATGCAAATCAAAACTACAATGAGATATCACCTCACGTCTGTCAGAATAGCTATTATTAAAAAGACAAGAAATAACAAGTGTTGGAGAGGATGTGGAGAAAAGGGAACCCTCATACACTGCTGGTGGGAATGTAAACTGGTCCAGCCACTGTGGAAAACAGTATGGAGATTCCTCAAAAAATTAAGAACTACCAGGGCTGGCCCCATGGCTTAGCGGTTAAGTGCACGCGCTCCGCTGCTGGCAGCCCGGGTTCGGATCCTGGGCGTGCACCGACACACCGCTTCTCCGGCCATGCTGAGGCCGCGTCCCACATACAGCAACTAGAAGGCTGTGTAACTATGACATACAACTATCTATTGGAGCTTTGGGGGGAAAAATATAAATTAAAAAAAAAGAAAAGAAAATTTTTTAAAAAAAAAAAAAAAAAAGAACTACCATATGATCCAGCTATTCCACTTCTGGGTATTTATCCAAAGAACACAAATACACTAATGCAAAAAGATATTTGCACCCCTATGCTCATTTCAGCATTATTCACAATAGCCAAGACTTGGAAACAACCAAAGTGCCCATCAATGGATGAATGGATAAAGAAGATGTGGTATATATACACAATGGAACACTACTCACCCATAAAAAAAGATGAAATCTTGCTATTTGTAACAACATGAATGGACCTTGAGGGTATTATGCTAAGCGAAGTCAGTCAGATGGAGAAAACCAGATACTATATGATTTCACTCATATGTGGAAGATAAAAAAACAACAATAACAAACAAACACATAGATACAGAGAACAGATTGGTGGTTACCAGAGGGGAAAGGCGCTGGAGGGAGGGTGAAAGGGGTAAACGAGTACGTGTGTACAGTAGTGGATGAAAACTAGACTTTTGGTGGTGAACACGATGTAGTCTATGCAGAAGTAGAAATATAATGATGTACATCTGAAATTTATACAATGTTATAAACCAATATACCTTAATAAAAAGTTAATTAAAAAATAAACAGACACTGACTATACATAGCATGACCATATAATTATTAACCAAACTGAGATAATTTGAGAGTGAAATGGGACCCTAAAATAATTAAAATCAGGTAATTTAAACATTTTAATTTATTGAGTAAAAATTGTTATATTGGAGGAAAAAAAATAACTTCAAAAAAATTCAGTAAAATTCCTTAACTGTAATACAGTGGAGAAACAAATGGAAAATTATGATAAAATCTCATGCACTTAAATAGTGAAGGTCCCAGCACGACTACATTAAGAGACGTTATAAAGGAGTCAGAAGGTCGCGCAGGTGTGCAGATCACTGTGAATGTGCTCATCAGACGCGGGCGACACTGTTGCTCTGTTGGCCATTCAGGTGCCATGAATCACATCAGCAACATGGGTCACAAAACGACCATCAACTCCTGTTAAAGTCCCAGACAAAACAAACAGGCGTCGTCCCTCAGTTTTCACAGTAGTTCCACTCCTGGGTAATTCAGTGAGTATTAAAACACTGCAAAAAATAAAGTGGGGCAACTTCCACTTCTGGCCAAGATGAAGGAACAGAGACCAGATTTACCCTCCCACCTGAAACAACATGACAAAGTCTGGGAAACAAGGGCCCTCACAACACTGGGTCATCAGGCACTGGAGGCCAACCTCACAGCCGGACCTATTCCTGCAGGACTTGAGTTTAAAGCCGTAAGCACTTCTTCTCTCTTTTCTTGAATGTACGGACACGTATTTCCAGTTTCCTAGTGAGGCTTCCACAGGAAGTGCAGTGATGTTGATGTTGTAAATAATTTTGGCCAAAACTGATAACTTTAAGCCCTGAAAAAGTTCCTGCAATTCTGTCACGATTGAATTGTTTCTATTAAAATCAGTGGGATTACACATCACGCTGACCCGAGAGGTAGGAGAAGGCACAGTGGATGTCACTAAAATCCCACCGTGCACCTTTACTGAGCACCTTCGGTGTGTCTGTTACAGGGTCACGAGGACACGCCTTCAGGCAGCTCTGGTCTAAGGTTCTGCATCAGCGATGAGTCTGCTCTGTCCCAAACGTCACAGTTTCCTGTGCAACGAAAGAGCTGTCACATAGCCTGTGGACATCTGCTTGGTGGTTCCAGGGTGTGGACAGTGAGCCCTCCCGGCTCTCCCCTGGTGAAGCCCCCTCTGCCCCACTCAAGCTCATGCTTGTGGACCCAGGTGTAGCCAGCTCACACTCGCGCCCAGAACTGAGGTGAGGGGCCAACGTGTCTCCAGAGCTGGCCCATTTAAAACCTCTGTCCCCAGGAATCACCAGGTATTTTATACTTTCTATTTAAACTCTTGATATCAATATCCCTTACGCCAGTGCTTCTCAAACTTCAACGAGTATACAAATCACTGGGGGATGTTGTTCAATTGCAGATTCTGATTCGGAAGGTCTGGGTGGGAATAGAGAGTTCATATTTCGAACAAGCTCCCAGGTGACGCCCGTGCTGCTGAGCGCAGGCCACACCTGAGGAGCGAGGTCTTACAAGATAGCTAAGGCACGAGGGGTAACTTAATAAATTGCATAGAATGTAAGAGGATGACGGACTCTCTGGGGAGGTCAGAGAAGGCTTCTAGGAGGAGGTGATTTCTAAGGTGGGTGTGTAAACATAGGAGTTCGGTGGGTGGGAGGAGGAACAGGCACAGAGGGGTGAGTCTCTGCAGGGCACACACAGCCACGCTGAAAGGTTAAACTGGAGAGACGTAATGGAACCTATATTTTAGAGGGAGCACTCTGACTGCTGTGTAGGAAGTCAGCTAGAAAGGAGGTGGGCCGGGGCAGGGGAGACAGCTCAAACGCAAGAGAGAGTGAGGCCTGGACTAAGCAGAGACAGCAGGGAAGCAGGATCCCAACCTGTGGATGCGCTGCACGGTGCCTTTGACCAGGACAGTTCAGGGAGTGGGGAGACAGTGGGCGCAGCTATGCAGACGCTGAAGCTGGGGTGGGGGTTGAACGTCCAGGAGATGGACACCAGCTGTCTGAAGCTGGTGTCTGCCCTGGAGGATGGATCTGGATCCCACGTGCACGTAAGTGATGGTGAGGGCGGGGCAGGCGGTGGGGTGAGCTTGCCAGGGAGGGCAGAGGTGTGAGGCACTGGGACAGCTACGCCCAGTGGTTCTTTGGCTCTGAGAGCCCTTTTCCTTCAGCAACAGCACTGAGTATCTTAGATCAGGATGTCAAATGGCACAGTTGTTTATGCAGCACTAAGGGCTGTGATAAGCACACAGAGCTTTTAAGAATGTTCTAACCAACATCCAGATATACTAACCCTTAAAGTGTTGATTTTTTTTAGCGTTTTAGACTTACTTGCAGTTATTAACCATCTACCTCTCGGAATCTATAAAAATCTGCTTTTATTATTGTGTAGCAAACCCAGCTGAAATAGTCAGCAATCAGTTTTTATGCTAGTTCACACAATTACGTCCTGCACCATTATTAAAAGCAAATGACTTGAAGTGATGCAAAAAAAATCAGAGTTTATGATTTTTAAGGCAGCCAAATCGCCTTTTCATTAAAGCCAGTTTTGTACCAATGATTATTCGTGTCACTTTATGTATTATTTTCCAGAACTTCTACATAACAGCTTTTTTTTTTTTTTGGTGACGAAGGTTATCCCTGAGCTAACATCCGCACCAATCCTCCCCCACTTTGTACATGGGACGCCACCACAGCATGGCTTGAGGAGCAGTGTGTAGGTCTGTGCCCGGGATCCAAAGCCAAGAACCCCAAGCCACTGAAGCAGAGCATGTGAACCCAACCACTACACCACTAGGCTGGCCCTACATAATAGCTTTTTTCCCCCATGGATATACATATCTTACTGGTGTTTATTTTTAAGTTATAATTTTAATAATCATTATGTAACTTGAGATATGTAAGTTATAGTTTGGAAGAATTTATTCTGATTATTAATAAGAAAAATTTATTCTCAGGATTACATACTCTGACATATGAAAGAGAAGCAACGTTTCTATGTCTTCCTGGACTCATGTAGGATAAAAAGAGATTCCAGCAATTTGGTAACATTCACTGCACTCTGACGCACACATTTTGTCTCTTCTGGTCAAATGAATCTACTACTGACATTTATGCACAGCTGAGTTGACATGGTACAGAATCATTCATTTTAATTATTTCTTAAATTTATTCCATATATATTTCATGAGTACACGTCAGTATCTAAATTGATAATTAAAAGAAAAATGATCAGTTAAAATAATGACTCATTTGCATTATTTTTTACATGCACAGTAGCATTTAATTCTCAAGACTCTGTGCAGACACTTTTCTTAAATTATCTCCATGTGCAGCTAAGACGGCTGGTTGGAAAGATCGGGTGACTTACCTGAGGTGACAGGGCTGTCAACAGCAGTGAGACTCCAGCTGAGGTGATGTTATGAGAGGTTTGGGGATTTGATCGGAGATGTAAAAGACACTTTTCACTCCAAACAAATGGACTGAAGGTATATTTTATTATATAGAGGATAGTAAAGGCGACAGTCTGCAAACAGATCCAAATAGGTCAAATATTAAGAGGGAAAAAACATCAGCCCGACTGGAAAGGGAAAACATCCACATCGGCTGAAGAGAAATGACACAAATCAACTGGAAAGAGAAACACCAGGTTGACCGGAAAGAGAACACATCAAATCAATTACTTCATATCAAATCAATTACTTCACATCAAATCAGTTACTCACAACATCCACGCCCCACTGCCGGGAGAGCCCTGTCAATCGACGCGGCTGGGCAAGGATCACACGTCCTGGGCAAGGTGTCCCTTCCACAGGTGGAACTCTCACCAGGTCTCAGTTTCCAGCAGTTTTTATACCATCAGTAATTTTCAGAGTAAGCAATTACAGAGTTTACAGAGCAAGCATCTAGTGTTCCCATGCACAAAATAGTTATCAGTGGCGTACGTGCACTGAGCCCCTTGGCTAACGTCCCAGCCCAGTAGTTGTGTACGTGCATTGTTCTCTTTGGTTATCGTCTTAGCCCGGCACAGATGGCCAGTCCATCCCGCGCTACGACGCTCCAAGAGCCTTGAAATGTTACAACTTGCAACTCTCTCCGTGGGAGAAAGGCCAGTTCCCGGGAAAATGCCAGTTTCCACCACACAGAAAGCAGCTTTGTATTTCTTTTTGTGCTGGTGGCTGTAGATCAATGGAGCGGCCAAACATGGCTGTACTCATGTCAAGACAGGTGACCTGTTGCATGACGACAACTACATCAGTATTCTAAAATGAAACAGAGGGGTTTTTTTTAATTGTTCAAAGAAAAAGAAAATATTTAGAGTTGACTAGAAACGGCTGTTAAATAGCTAGTTCGTCAATCATGTCCTGGAGTAGAAATGAAACCTGAATAAAGCGGGGCCACCTTGGGGCTGGTCTCGGCCGAGCGTTGTCCCTAAAGAAACTCGAATCCTCCAAAAAAGGCTTCCCCTTCGTGTGAGAAGTGGCTCAGAGAAGCCGCAGAAGGGGAACCACATTGCATGACACACGGTGGAACATTCTGGAGTCTTTTTTCCAAAGTTTCCCTCATCTCTATAGCCACTCCCCCTAAAATTGCTCTTCCCCAGACTTCCTTCAGTGCCCCCTCCCTGCCCCTCTGCCCCTCTGCCAGCCACCCCCCTCCCTGGGGCCTTCCAGAGTTCGTTTCTTTCACGGTCACTCTATATCCTTTCTGATACTAACCAGTTCAGCCTCTCAGCTCCCTCTGTCTCTTCCACAGTGACCTCTGGTAGAGACGATGGGACCCAGACTCGGGCTGAGGACGGGGAGGCGTGTGTGTGTGTGTATGTGTGTGTGTGTGAACTTTTGTGGTGCCCGTCACATAAACTTGCAGTTTACATCCTCCAGTGGCTTCCACAACCACAAGGCCCTGTTTATCCAGCCTCACCTCCACTCCAGCCACACCAGCTGCCTTGTTTATCCCTACCCACTCTCCAGCCTCAGGATCTTTGCACTTACCGTCCTTTTGCCTAGAACACTTTTCCACAGATATCCACATGGCCAGGTCCCTCCTTTTATTCACATCTCTGCTCAGAGACCTGGTTACTGAGGCCGTTGTCACAGAGCTCCTCCTCTAAGATCACAGCTTGTCTCTCTCCATCCCTTCGCCTGCTTTGTTTTCCTTCAGCACACTTGTCACCACCGCACACTGTGTATTTATTTATTTGTTATTCATATCTTCTATTAGGAAGCGAGCTCCATGAGGAGAGCGACTTTGTCTATTTTGCTCTCTGCTCAATCTTCAGCACCTAGAACATTGCATGGTCCATGGTAAATGCTCAATAAATATTTGTTAAATGGATGGACAGTAATTATTCATCAAAATCTTATGAGAAGACTAAGGAATCCTTCACTTAATGAAGAAGGTATTTTCCTTTTGAAACTTGACACGAATATTTGTGTAGTCACATTTTCTAGTGAATCTCCCTCTGCTACCCTCTACGCCTCACATGCTGGGTGGCGTCTTCCACCCCCAGCCTACCTCTCCCGCCTGTTGCATATAAAGTCCAATTTCCTGTCCAGTTTCCAATGCAAACTGCTTGGTCTCTTTGAATCTCCTAAGTCTTTGTTCCTCAAATCTCCAGGTGTTCACAGATTCTGACCTAGCTGTTGGCAGGTCATTAGCTTCCAGAAATGTCAGCTGTCTGTGAACCCCCAAGGCACTGGTGTCTTGAGACATGGAAGACTCCGGAGCCCTTGCCTTGCCAACATCTCTGGCATCTGTGAGCTGCGGGGAGTGGCAGAGCCGGGGGCTTTGGTTCCTGTGCCTCTCGGTGCTGACAGGGCATTTCTGGTGGGAAAGAAAGTGGGCCTCAAAGCAAGTGTGTCTGAATGCTGGCATCCCTAACAAATCGCTGCCTCCAGGGGGTCCCTGAGGCCTCGCTCGCTTGCACTTTCCTGGAGGCACCACCACCGATGTCAACAATAAGGAAGAAGCAAAGCATCCTGTGTAGTCAAGAATGTGCCTGGAGAGGTCCGGCCCTTCCCTCGGCCCCTGGGAGGTAATCCAGGGCATTCCTGAGAGTGTCTTGTTTAGGGCAGGGCCCGGACACACCAGATCACAGGGTGGGATCGGCCACACCCGAGGGTTTTAGGGTGGGAGCTGGCCGTGCGGGAGAGACCAACTATGTGACCAAGGGTGGGAGCTTTGGGTCACATGGTATCAGTGGACCTGGAGGCTGAAATCAACTGGTGGGCAACTGACCGATCAATCACGCCTAGTAATGGGGCCCCAATAAAGCCTCTAAGCATCGAGGCTCAGGTGAGCGGCCCTGGTTGGTAATAGTCCGTGTGTTTGTCCGACATCGACGCCAAGGGGGTCCCGAGGACGACAGGAGCTTTGCTCTGGGAGCCTCCCGGACTCTGCTTGTGTGTCTCTTCCTTCAGCAGATTTAATCTGTGTCATCCCCTGTGATAGGCCGTAACTGTGAGGTCAGAGCTTTCCATGGGTTCTATAAGTCCTTACTTCTAGTGAATTGTCAAAATCAAGGGTGGACTGGAGAACCCCTCCCACAAACTTGCAGTTGGCGTCAGAAGTGAGGACAGTCTTGGGGCCTATGCCCTCAAAGCTCGAAGTCTGGCTGACTCTGGGCACGTCCCTGCACCACAGAAAGACTGGGCCTCCACTCCAGGCTCTTCCATTCCACACAACGCACAGCCTCCTCTTTCCATGCAGCTTTAACTGTAATGTTTCTTTATATCATATTTATAAACTTTCGTAGAGGAAAGGTACTTTTAAAACAGGAGAAAACCATGTCTTTGGTACTTTTCTGTAAGTCCCAAGATACTTTAAAAATATTGAATGTCAAAATGATTTCCCAGCACAGTATTAATTTTTCAGCATAACTGAGTCACCTGCTGGGGACCTCACAAAGTTCATAGCAAAACTGAGCACGGGCGTGGGAGGCCTGATTTCTCCGCCTGCCCAGCAGGCCATGGTCAGGGCCGGGACACATTAACCCTAGAACACACTGGAAATCACACGACCCCAGGACGGAGCAGGTGAGGGGCCAAAC